AGGGAACGCGCGCGCGAGCGAGAGAGAGGCAGAGAGGGAACGCGCGCGCGCGCAAGAGACAGAGACGGAGAGGGAACGCGCGCGAGAGAGACGGAGAGGGAATGCGCGCGCGCGCGAGAGAGAGAGACGGAGAGGGAACGTGCGCGTGAGTGAGAGAGAGAGACAGAGAGGGAACGCGCGCGCGCGAGAGAGAGAGAGAGAGAGAGGGGAGCGGCACGGGCAAGAGAGAGACGGAGAGGGAACGCGCGCGCGCGAGAGACAGACAGAGAGGGAACGCGTGCGCGTGCGAGAGAGACAGAGACGGAACGTGCGCGCGCGAGAGAGGGAGACAGAGAGGGTACACACGCGTGCGCGCAAAAGAGAGACAGAGAGGGAACACGCGCGCGATAGAGAGAGACAGAGAGGGGACCTTGCACGCGCCCCCCACCCTCTACGTTCCCTCTCTGTCTCTCACGCGCGCGCACGCGTGAGAGAGAGGGAACGTAGAGGGTGGGGGGCACGCGCGAGTGCGAGGAGGTGCAAGGGCGAGGAGGTACAAGGGCAGGGACGCCGCAAGGGCGAGAGGGCGAGGGGGCGGCGTGTGCATGTGAGGGCAAGAGAGAGCAAGAAACAGACAGAGAGAATCACATCACATGTGAAATTGCAGATTAATCTCCTTCACCCAAATATTTGAGACGTACCCGCTCACTGTGGTTGCCCCTCTGGTGGTCAGAGTTGGGTGCCCGGCCTGCGGTCACACCCCAGTGATGGCCCTGCCGGACCTCCTGCAGTTCACACATGGGCTGCACGTTGCCAAGAGGCAGGTGTCCATGCTGGTTTGACATGCTGGGCTCAGCGGGGGTGAAGCCAAATGAGGCAGACAAACAGTGTGAGGACGGGGGCTTGCATCCTGAGCTGGTCCCACCTGCAAACAAGACAAAGAAAAGGCAGTCTGTCAGATAGATACAGACATACATAGACTAATACAGAAGCTGCATTTCTCTGATGCCTCGTCCCCCTTGGGATGCAATGGTGTTTCACAACAAATGAATGAACTCACTTCAGTAAATTGTCTGTACTAACGAAGGAAATGGTACAGACAACGTGCATACAGCAAGTGGCCAGAGGACTTTCTGGACCCACTCAAGAGGGCAAATAGGAACCTCTGTTTAATGTCTCAATTGAAATTACCGACAGCGCGGCGCTCCCTCGGTGCCGACCCTCCGACAGCGCATCGCTCCCTTGGCGCTGTCCCTCCCTCAGCGCGGTGCTCCCTCGGCACTGACCCTCCGACAGCGTGGCGCCCCCTCGGCACTGACCCTCCGACAGCGTGGCGCCCCCTCGGCACTGTACTAGGATGTGACACTTCGGATTTGGACTCAAGCATTTGCAGTGAGGTCTGAACTCTCTCTGACCTGACAATTAAGGGAGTGTGTATGACTCACTGAGCTCCTCCTGACGCTGCAATCTAGACATTTTAATTTCTGAAACTGTCATTAAAATGTTTACACTATCGCTGGTCAATACAGCAACGAAACCCACCATATAAACTTCCAACAATGGAGTTGCACATTGTTGAAAAAAAATTATCTAGATATCAATGCACAGCGAGATCCTAACACCAACTATAAACTCTGATAGTATTCTTGAGGTTGTGGTGCTGCAGGCTCCGCCTCAGCAAGAGACTTTGACATACAAAAAGGTTTATAACTAGAGCAGTAAGCAGCAGGCAGGACCTGATGCACCAGTGTTTCCCTGTTACATTGATGCAGTGACAGTAATCACACTGCAGCCTCTGACCAACACCGATGGTAGTGAGTGATTACAGTGCAAACCCAGATCAACACTAACACTTTGACAGTGATGAGCCAGATATACAGATACTTTGTGATCTGTATAGATTAATGATTTGGATGCAGGAAGTGAATGTACCATAGCCAAGTTTTCAGATGGCACAAATAGGTGAGAAAGCAAATGGCGGGGACTGCACAAGTTTGCAGATGGCACAAATAGGTGAGAAAGCAAATGAGAGGGACTGCACAAGTTTGCAGAGTGGTGTAGACAGGCTTAAGTGAGCGGGCAAAAACTTGGCAGATGGAATACAATGTGGGAAAATATGAAGTTGTGAACTTTGGCAGGAAAATACAGGTTCTAAATATGATTTGGATGAGAGAATGACTGCATAAAGCGGCAACTCAGAGGGATTGGGAACATTCATGGATAAACACAAAAAAAAACTAGCTTCCAGGTTCAGCAGATAGTACTGATGGCTAATTGCATGGCTCAGAAGCAACGGAATATAAAAATAGGGAAGACTTGCTAAAACGATACAAGGCACTGGTCAGACCACACCCAGAATACTGTGAACAGTTTTAGTCCCCTTATTTTAGGACAGACATACTGGGTTTAGAAGCAGTCCAGAGATGGTTGACTAGGTCGAATGTGGGAATGGAGGGTTTTTTCCCTAGAAGAAAAGGTTCAGCCTGTATTTACTGTTGTTTAGAAGGATGAGCGGCGACCTTATTAAAACATACAAGATTGTTAGGGGACTTGGACAGGCTAGGTATGGTGTTGTTGTTTCCCATTTCCAGAGAGTCTAGAACCAGGCGGCATCATTTCAGAATAAGAAATCTCCCATTTAAGACAAAGATGAGGAAGAATATTTTCTCTTTCAGAGGGTAATGAATCTGTGCAATCCTTTACCACAGACAGGTAAAGAGTGTTATAAAGTATATGTACACATGGCTGAAATGGACAGGTTTTGAATCAGTAAGGGAATGAAAGATTATGTGGAAAAGGCAGGAAAGTGGAGTTGATGATTATCAGATTAGTCACAATCTGACTGAATAGGCCAAATGGGCTACTTCTGTTCCTTTGACCTTATGATGATGGAGAGGTGGGTGGGTTGTGTTGTGGGCGGTGAAGGAATCAAATTGTTCTAACAGCTAGCACAGACACAATAGGCTGAATAGCCTCCTCCTGTGCCTCACTGTTCCATGATCTTGTGCCTACAATGGTTTCACGGTACACAGTGGTACCATTCCCAGCCTTTCCCAACAAGCACACTCCAACAGTGAGCAGGCAAGTTCAGAGAGAACTCACAATCCAGCCCCTCACCTTTGCGGTGGAGCGTAGATAAAACAGGTACGGTTATTCGGGACGTGTTTGTACTGAGAAGTCAATAGAGCAAACACATTCTGAAATGCTGGTGCTGGTGTTCCATCAGTAAGTCCAATGCCCCTCTGAACTGTTCCCCTGACAGATGAAAGCTTTTCTTTCAGTGATGCTGACATTGGTCAGTCTAATCTCTTGTACGGAAGACATGTCAGTGTCCAACCAACTGAATTCCATGTCAATCATGGCTGTCTCCGACGCATTAGCGACCAGAGATTGGTCAGTCCCGTATACATGCTCCCAACGCCCCAGTTCATTAATTGAAGAACTGGGGCCTTTTACAGCTGGATGTTCAATTTGATTGGTTCCTCTCCATCCACCTCGAGCTCTGGGCAGCCACTGAAGCATCTGGATCATGGCAGCCCAGCATCTTACCCAGCTTCCCAGCTCAAGGTAGGTGATGACTGACCAGTGCAGCATGATGTTTTCTCCCACCATAGACAGCACAAAGCATCCATTCTCACCCTCACTCAAGCTGTAAGTGCCATCTCCTGTGTGGTGTGAATGCTCTGTGAAAGTCCGTTAGTTACCACCTGACCAGCCAGCTTTCTCCTGATCTGAGAGGGGCAGTACTTGCTGGGGTGTGATGATGGAATCTTCAGCATTCCCCAACCACCAGCCCCCCCACTGAGCAGTGGTGCAGAATCGTGAATGTAGGAAGTTCCTCCCCCATGTGTGGTGCTGTGGGAGGGTGAAAGGACTGCATCTGTTGAAGGGCACAAGGAACGGAGCAGCCAGTCAATGTAGAGCGAAGGTGATGGAAGTGGAAGGAATGCTCCGAGATAGCAGAGAGCAGAGCAGTGATGTGTTTGTTCGAAGGCGGAGAGGCTGGAAATAACGTGGCAAACTCAGGAGTCAGTGCAGTGGAAGGTCAAAACTAGGGACTCTGAAAACTTAAGGGAATATTCAGAGTTTAACTGGTTTGAGAGATCTCTGAAGGGTCTTGGGCCGAAAGACAGCGTAGACCCGAGAGGCATGGAACAAGGGCACCCGGGTGAGAGAGTGGGGCAGGATGTGAGAGTGCATGACAGAAGGGGGTCAGTTTGATGTGGGACAGGGGTTGTAGGGAGCGACAGAGGTGGGTAGGCACTGATGGTACAGGCAGGGAAATGAGGACACATGGCGGGGGGGGGTGGTGGGGGCATGGAGCGAGGACGTGTGAGAATGAGGGCACTGGTGCAGGGACATGAAAGAAGCAAAGCAGAGCACATGGGAGTTAGAAGCAGGAAGACAGACATATTCAGAGTTTGGGCAGGAAAGATCAGAATTAGAGAGATTCAAAAGGTGAGAGGCATGTGCAGGTGTGAAAAGTTTGGTAGGATGCACAAAACTGAGTGAGACAGAGAAAGATGGAAACAATCCGTGCAAGTGAGAGACAGGTAAATAAATACACATTGAGTGTGGGCAGAAAGGAGTGTAGAATTCTGGAGTCAGGGGCAGGAGGCAGGCAGGGAGGGACTGAAAGAAATGAGAGTGGATGGCAGCGAGACACAGGCACAGACAAACTGAGGGATGGATGGATGGAGAGGAAAGAGTCAAATTCAGAAACTAACCAGCACTAATTTATATTCTGACTACAACACCACTCAGAGCATTGACAGACATCACACACGTGGCAGAACAGTTAGAATATTACAGTCATCAGCTGCAAACTATTTCTGGACAAACCAAACGTCATAACCAGTCATCCTTGTGTATGTGCGTGCGTGTGTCATCCACACGGTACCAATTTCCACAGCCCCGCTGCTCAGAAACCCCTCCATTAGCAAATGGCTTGGAAAACATTTTATAACATGGAGACGTGTACAGAGAGCAGCATTCTCTCCTTTTCCAGTTTGGAGACCCATGCCCAGTGAATAGGGCAAGTATCGGAGTTCAGCTGTGAGCGAGCGTGCCCAGGCCAGACACACTCCAGGAAGCCAAACAACGCAAAACTAAAACGTGGGCCTTTAAAGGACGCATTCGTTACTCACAATTACAAAAACTCCAAAATCACGACTCTCAATCCCCAGATGTGTACAGCCTCTCCCAAATGCCCACTCCGAGTGTGTGGCCCCTACCACACAGTTTGTGGGCTCCGGGGCCCATAGGCAGGTTCTAAAAGCAAATTCCTAAGACTCCCCTCCTCCCAAATTCAGGTCACTAACTTCCGCAGCCCAGCCAAAGCAAGATTGGGGCCAGGAGGTTGGACGGTAGGACTTGAGGAAATGCTGTGGAAAATTTGAGGAAACATTTCCTCACTCAGAGGGTGCTGGCTATCTCAAACACACAGCCCGAAAAGGGTGGTAGAGATGGAACAACGTTTAACAAGGTATTTAGGATCAAAATCCTGGAAATCCCTCCCTAATGGCATTGTGGGTCAACACACAGCAGGAGGACAGCAACGGTTCAAGAAGGCAGCTCACCACCACCTTCACAAAGGTAACTAGGGATGGGCAAGAAATGCTGGCTCAGCCAGCAATGCCCATATCGCACAAATGAGTTTTTAAAAAAAAAAATTTAAAAAGATAATCACTTGAAGTGCCACAGCATTCAAGGCTGCTGGCCAAGTGCTGGAAAACGGGACGAAAGTGGATAGTTATTTGCTCGATGACTGGCCTGGACAGGATGGGCCAAAGACTTCTTTCTGTGCTGTAAAACTCAAACCCCTAGAAAGCCTAGAACAGTGCAGGCAAATAAATGCTGAAACCTGCCCAATATATTGGCCTCATGATTTATCTGAAAATGCACATTCACAGTTCAAGTTGTTCTCTAGTTCTCCAGTACTGTACCTAACGCCTACAAGCAATTGATCTAATTTGAATAGTCTGCAACCATCAGACAGGAACAATTTGCTCTTCAAACCAACCTTCACTCCTGCAGATTTCCCTCTGCTCCTCATCCTTTGATCTTTTACTTATAAATTCTGTGTCTGATACTACCTCTCTCACTAACACCTGAAGGAGGACTGAGGCTCCCGAAAGCTTGTGTTTCCAAATAAACCTGGTGGGCTATAAGCTGGTGTCGTGAGATTTCAGACCTCATCCAAACTGTGATCGAGTGCTCCTTCAATGCCTCTCCACCCCGCGCCACCCGACAAAGTAGTAGAGCATGGGGAAATATCAACTTATTTAGGTTTCTGTTGGTCAGAACTGAACAGTATTTCCTGACTCACTAGCTGAAGACAGGAGCAAGCAGAGGAGGATTAGAAGGACACAGCAGGGAAAAGCAAAGAAAAGGAGGAGGTAAAAACGGGCAACAGGGAGAGCAGGCTGGGCGGACTGTGCACGAAAGACAAACAAGGAAATGAAGGGAGAGCGAACACCCTGGAATAGAGGATGAGGGAACTCGAGTACGCCAGTTCGCACTTCAAGTCTGTTCCGCTACATGAAAGAAACGAAGAAGACATGAAACAAAGCGCAAAAGAAAAAGTGGAGACATTCAACCCCTTCTCCTGACAGTGTAGCCCAGACAAAAGAGACAGAAACCGACTCTCAGCATCGATGCTGTTGTGCCCCGTAAGAATTCTGTATGTTTTGACAAGAAACGGTTGTCCAGCAGGAACACAGTAAAGAAATGCTGCCATGCTGCATACCCAGAGAAGGTACCAGGACGGTGTGATGTACAGGAAAGATCTGATCAGGATAAGGGAGTCAACATGCAGTGTATCTGGCTGCATTCCAGTACACTACCAGCAGCGGACACAACAGCTATTAGCTTATTAATCAACTAATGAGCAAATCCACCCAAACAGGAAGTGAGGGCCTTAAGACAGTTAATACTGAGGCTGTCTGCTACTTAATGGAAATCCTATTAACACTGGTGGACTGATGGCTTTAGAAAGGTCTTGAGGCGGTGAGTTCAGGGCAGTACCCCTTTTCACAAACATTGCTGCATAAATGTAGACCAAGTTCATCATTTCAAGGTGCTGTATTTCTAAACTAAATCTGACCCTAGCCGCACACGGATGTATTCAGTCAGGGGCCCGAAAGCCTCGTCAAAGAGGTCAATTTTAAGAACCATCTTAAAAGGAGGGGAGGGGAGGGGAAGAGGGGGGAGCAGGGAAGGGCGGTGGGGGGGGGTAGTTTAAGGAAGCTTAAGGCCAAGAGATGCTGAGGCACAGCAGCCAATGACAGAGTGATGGAGATCAGGATGGGCACACTCAAGAGGATAGAATTGGAAGACAGCAGAGATTCCAGGGGAGGTAACAGAGATAGGGAGGGGGTGTAGGTGCTGGAGGGGGTTACAGAGATAGGGAGGGGGTGTAGGGGCTGGAGGAGGGGGTTACAGAGATAGGGACGGGGTGTACGGGCTGGAAGAGGCAACAGATATAGGGAGGGGTATAGGGACTGGAGGAGGTTACAGAGATAGGTGTCTCAGTGATGGCATTAATGCACAATTGGAAAATCATCACAGGGTGAATGCAGCATCAAGGATGCAAACAAACTAACAATCTCAGCCTTGCAGAAGTTTGGAGTCAATAGCTTGGGAACGGAGATTGTGCTGGGGACCAAAACTGGAAGAAAGTTCCATGGACTGAATCTGGTATAAACAAACACAGTCTGTTAATGTAGCAAGAGTGCAGCAGGGAATCGAGTGAGCTGGTGCTGAGGTAGAGCTGTGTCAGAGTACATGAAAAATCGAACCCTGTTTTCAGATGATGTACCAGAAGGACAGACCGTAGGTGAGATGATATGAGGGGGGCCAAGGATAGACCCTCTATCATCAGTTTGTAGGGAGGAGGTGATTTAATGTAAAACCAAAAACTGCCTGACCTCTTCCCTCACCACAGTCTGTACCAGTAGCATCACGTATGAAGTCTCGTTGTGATGCTGGGCAGCTTTGACCACACTCTCAGCACTTGCAGAGCTAGCACTCCTTGTTGTTAGCAAGAAAAAAGCAGCTGGAGGAACAATAGGCTCACCCAATTTGCCAGAATACCAGTCACTGGAAATGTCCAGGCATGCACTAGGCTGTGTGTTGGGCACTTCACACCACACTTCCACCCCCCGAAAACAAGAGCTGATAAAACTAACACCTATAGATGAAGTAGACACAATAGCACCATGCTGCAATCTAAAACACATATCACAGTCTTCTAAATCAGATCACACCTTCACATTTAGCTAGTACCTGCCTCTTTAGGGATACCCCACACTCAGAGGCATGTCTATCATCAGACACCAGAGAAGACCAGCAGTGGAATGGGTGGAGGGCAGAGCTTCCTGGCAGGAACAACGTTCTGTTATTACTACAGCTACACTTTGTTCACCTCTCAAGCTGTGGAAAGATAACACCAGGAAATGTTGTCTCGCGGAAACAACCGTCCAATGTTATCGCAGGATTTATGACTTCACTAAGAATCACAGCTAATGTCAGGCACTAACAATCGTTCAGTACCTGCACATGCAAACTGGACAGGAGCTAGAACCCTGGCTGATTTCCACTCAACACCCCCAATGCCACCCTCCTCCCCCAAATACCTAACCCAGGGATCACTGGACAGTGATCAGGAACAGGAACCCCAGCAAAGTTGCACAAACAAAGCAGACAAATAGGAGTATGAGCCAGCTCTTTGCCCCTGCCCGCCATCTGGGAAGACTAAGCCTTTCCACGCCCTCCCCACATCCCACCATTTCCTGTACCATTCAAACATTCTATCTGGCTGTCAGCTGCTGTGCCAGTGTACCTGAGAAATCTTTGTTTTGATGATCTGATCTGACTGTCAAATTCACCAATTCTGTGAGGGGCTACGTTAACCCTCCTTTTTTTATGCCAGTATCCTAGAACAATTGGCCCACATTTTCAGATTGTATCTCTGGCCAGTTTTTAAAACTTTTCCTGTTCCCAAGGCACTCGCCGATTCTACCTTCAGGTAGGAAGTGTCTGTCGAGCGGAGAAGGTGGGTAAGTGAACAGAACGCCTAAAAGATCGCACCGCACACCCCCCCACCCAAAACAGTCAAAAACACCTTGACCCCAATGTTAACACAACCCCTTACCACAAGACCAACCCGTTCACTCATCCCTCCGCTGCAGGCTACAGTGAACAGTATAGAATCTGCCCAAAGGGTTTCTCAAACTGGTACTAAACCATCCAACCTGTGCCCGCTGGTGGGCTACCAGAGAGGCACATTTGTGCCAACAGGGTTTCTAAACCAACATTACAAGCGAACGGTGCCCTAAAATAGTGACACTGTCTGCCCTACGTCTCTTGGGATAAATATATCAAGCCATGTTAGCTGTGTCACCATTTGATTTATTTTTTTTAAAATGAGGTTGTCTGATCATAAGGCTCTTTGGGAAGATTGCAGATTGCTGAACACCAAATCACTGGAATTGCACCTTACCAGGTACAGAATGGGGTCCCATTCACCTGGCAATGCCGCCTGGGGCAATGGCATGACGGAGTCCTCTCCCCAACAGCCAGAGACCGCAGCAGTCTCCACCCACTCAGCAGCGCGCTCGAAGGGGTTCCACTCCCTGGTAAGAGGGCAAAACTGCACCTGACAAGGCGGCCTGAATCGTGGCCACGATGGACTAGATTGGGGAAGCAGCCTCCGCCAGATCAGCGGACATACGAGGTCCAGACAGAATGGCTCAGGGAGGCAGTATGTTAGTGGCTAACAATCAGTGCGCCTCACTCCTTTACCATTCGAACGAGAAAGAAGGATCATTAGAAATATTACAAGAAAGGAAGCGCTTGTCCCCACTGACATCCCAAGGTGGCAGGGTTCGGGAAACATCAATGCAGCTTGTAAGCTGGAGAAGTGGAAGGACAGCAATTCACTGCTGGTTAGACAAGCCACATGGGGCTATTTATTGCAGGACCACACTGCTCAACAGTACTCAGACACTACCACGGTTAACCAACTCCCCTTGGGCCTTATGTTAAATCCATCTCCTAAGACTCAGCACTGGATTCTCTAGGATAGACCTGTATCTGTTAGGACAGCCCTCTCAGTCTGATGAACTTCCACTAGCCCTTTGTACACAGTGATGGGCACAGTCAGACACACAGTACCGAAACACCATCCCCACACCTCCCCAAGCCCCCAGCACAGGCAGAGCATACTAACTTCGAGACGCCTTCTTGCTGCAGTGGGTGGCAGGTAGGTAACAAATGGGATCCTGCTTAATCCATTCTGACTGCAAGGCGGCCAGCATGCTGGGGGGAGACTGTTCAACTTCACTGGTGGAGGTGATCACCATTGGAACTAGCTTGGCACAGCGAGGAGAGCAGCAGAAAGCACGGTGCAGGTCAGAAGGACTGCAAGTTGGGCTTCACAAATCAGCGACGACCATGAGGGAGTAAGAGAGAAAGTAGGAGCCTGCAGGATGGAGCGAGCACTGAATGGAGGTGCCTTGGACCAGACTGGGAGCTTCAGCCAAGTGCTGAACACTAAAATTTGTGCCAAACTCCCGCAGCAGAAGCTTCAAACGATGAAAGAGTTGGAGAGCAGCAACCAGTATCTGAATGTTGAAGATCCACAGTGAGTCAAAGTTGAATGCAGCAAGTGACCAGGCAGGTGCCACAGGTAAATAAATACTGGTGTATGTATAATCCGTTCGATACTTGTCCAAGGGAAGTTATCACACTGTAATGTACATCCTATGCTCCCCAAACAAAAACAGACAAAAAAGGTTGAAAATTTCCACCAAAACGAAATGGAAGGAATCCAAGGGTTGATTCAGCAGCTTCAGGCTTGAAAAGGATGCTGTAGGTTCAGAGTCAGACACTCAAGAGTTGCTGAAATGACCTTGTAGGAGGCGAGCTGAAGTTCCTATCCAGTATATGGTACACACGCAGGGGTCAGGTTCCTGTCTCCAACAATGACAGGCAATCTGAAAAGTGGGCAGCTTGCTCCGATGCTGGGGAGTTGAGGTGGGAGGGCTTTGTATCTGATTTCTGTGTGAACCGGACAGAGGCACGTGTTTAAATGCCCTCTCCTTGGCTCCTAAGTGTATCCCAGAAACGACACGTTCACGCCAGATGCCAGCTCCCTTCCCTACCTGCGCTGCCACAGCTCCCTCGCTTTCACGGTGAGCCCCTGCGCCGACCAAAACAAAACGATTTAAAAACACAAGACACCTTCTACCCCGCTTCGGTTCAGGGGCCGAGTGCCACTCTCTGAGCCTGTCCTTGTACACGTACAGCGTCAAGGCAGGAGATGGGTTTCAGCTGTTTTGCAAAAGGTTACCCCCCCCCCCCCCCGCCCCCCCCTTTCCCCCCCCACAAATTTTTCCCCCCCCCGTCCCCTCCTGTAGACTTGTCTCGGTGGAATTCAGTCGGTGCCGATCTCTCAGGGAAGCTCAGGCGGACCTGGACGCTCGCAAGCCCGGGTGACAGGTTGCTCACGGATGGAGAAGTTCCCAGTCAGTGGCTGAAGGAGTAAGTGGCGGTAAGCACAGATACAGAAGGGAAGAGACAGAGAGAGAGAGCACAACCCAGAGGAGGAAGGGTGGGGAAGACGTGGGATTTTTTTAATAAAAAGTTCCTCTTCTTTCTACCCCCCCTCGACGCCCCTCCTGCACAGCAGCGCTGTTAAAAGCAGCTGGTGAGCTTTAAGAAGAATATCAGTAGTCCTGGCTGTTAGATGGCAGGAGCTCCTGCTTCCATTGTATTTGTGCTCCGGGCTGCTTGCATTTATCCATTTCCATTCCAGCTCCCTGCATTGCTTCGGTTGTACTCAGGAAACGGTGCGACTTTCTTCAAACTTGCTTGCTTGTTGCAAAACCAATCTCCAGCTGGATCAGGACCCTCCCTTTTGGGTCCCTTCTCCCTGTCTTCAATGTCGCTCGCTGTCTTGCAGCTCAGGCACAGCCTGCGGGTGGGTGGTAAACGCCTTTCAGTCCGTATGGAAAGGAGTTCCCTCTGACTGCTGGGTAAAATACACCCAATTATTCATGGCTGCAGTTTCCTCTTTCTCTATCTGTCTGCCTCCCGGTTGATGGAGCTTCGTTAGACTAACCGGACAGTCCTTTTGTTGTTGTTGTTTTAATTCATGCTTTAATCCAGTAAGTAGGATGGGGCTCGAGCAGGCATCAGCAGCTGTGGAAGGGAGCTATCTGGCTGGAAGAAATCAGTTCGAGTCCACACCCAGGCAGGAAGCCGAGGCTCGACTGAACCTGGAGCAAGGGGGAGGGAGGGTTACAGCACACACACGAAAAAAACAGGAGCTGGGCAGCAAACGCAACCTTCCCTGGCTCCTTTCCACACATTGCAATTACAGCACTGCAGCAAACTGGAGTGTGTGCAAGTCCACAGGAGGAGGGGGAGAGGGTCCTGCCTTGCCTCCTATCCTTGCAGGCTGCCTGAACCTCCCCAGGCTTCCTGTCTCACTCTCCCCTGTCCTAGGCTGGCGTGGCATGGTCCAGTTTCCCCGTGTCCACACCAGCTCCATTTATAGTCAGGAGACAGCAATGAATTTAGCAGCAGCCAGCAGGCTCGCCCCCGCCTTGGCCTCAGTCCCAGCGCGTTCCCAGCACCACAACCAACACCTCTCTCTCAGTCTCTGTCCAACGTGCTTCCCCCAGTACCCCTGCTGCTTCCTCTTGTTCTTGTGTGGATGTGTGAAGAGAAACAAGACGGATAAAAGGATGAAATATTAACTGTCACATTCACTTCTTTCCCCTTCCCCCAGTCAGAAATGAACAGGCAGTTTTATTGGCAGGAACCACCACACCACACCAACACTCACCAAGTAGGGAGAATCTCCAGCCCAGGGAAGGTAACCAACACACACTGAAGGGAATTAGTCCCTCAGACTAAAAGCAAAATACCTCTGATGCCAGAAATCTGAAACAAACACAAAGTGCTGAAGAAACCCGGCAGGAACTGTGGAGAAAGTCCAATGTGACTTTTTCAGAGAATTAGATGGTCATTTGAAATGGAAGAAGGTGTAGGGTGACAGAGCGAATGGTCCTCAGCAAGACTGCTCACTCAGAACTAGCACAAATCGGAAGGGCCTAATGTTCACCAACTGTGTCACTGCAATTCTGTGCACCATTCCACCAGATGGGTAGGATCTAGCCTCAGTGCTCCAGTTGATTTCAGGGGTAGGATAAATCATCCCTTGGATCCTGCTCCTGATGGCGAGAGAGCCTGTAAATCGCTTGCTGAAAGGTTCCAGAGGGTTGGCAGGGTGGTGATGCTGTCTCCCAGCCCACAGAGTGTGAACACAGGACAATTACTGGAGGAAAGGGCAGGGCAGCAAGGTGGTAGTGACAGAGGGTGGATAGCAGTAGGCAATTCAGCCCTTTGAGCCTGTTCCACCATTTAACCTGATCAAGGCTGATCTTATCCTGGCCTCAAATCCACTTTTCCTGCCTGATCCCCATAGCCCTTTATCCCACTTTTCATCAGAAACATTTCGATTTCTTTCTTGTATCTGTTGATTGATTCTGCCTCCACTGCACTCTGGGGCAGTGAGTTCCACAGATTCACAACCCTCTGAGAGAAGTGGTTTCTCGTCATCTCAGTTTTGAACCTACCTCCTCTCACTCTGTATCAATGCCCTCTTGTTTGAGACTGTCCCACAAAGGGGGATCATCTGTTCAACGTCTACCTTAGCAATCCACTTTAGCATTTTACACACTTCAATCAGATTCCCCCCGTCATTCTTCTGTCCTCCAGTGAATACAAGCCCAAGCTATTCAACTGCTCCTTGTACGACAGCCCTTTCATCCCCGGAATCAACATTGTGAACCTCCTCTGAACTACATCCAGTGCCACCAGATCCTTCCTCAAGCAAGGAGACCAGGACCAGGCACAATACTCCAGGTGTGGTCTCACTACTGCCTTATACAATTGTAACAACGCTTCTTTGCTTTTATAATCCAGTCCTTTTGCAATAACAGCCAGGATTCCATTTGTCTTTCTGATTGTATGCTGTACCCACGTACCCCTGTTCTGCGAGTCATGCACAACGAAGCCCAGATCCCAAGCTAACGTTTCAAGTCTCGGTGACTCTTCTAGACTTGAAATGTTAGCTTGCCTTCTCTGCATGAATGCTGCCTGACCCACTGTAATCTCCAGCATTTTTTGTTTTCAGTACAGATTCCAGCATCTGCAGTCATTTTCTCCAACGTGCAGATCCCTCTGCACTGACACACTTTGAATCTGCTTCCCACTTAAATAATAATTTGCCCTTTTAATTTTCCAGCTAAAATGGATAACCTCACACTTATCCATGTTAAACTCCCTCTGCCAGGTTCTGGTCCATTCTCCTAGCCTATCAATATCCACCTGTAAACTCTCCTCATCACAGCTTGTTTTCCCACCTATTTTAGTCTCATCCACAAATTTTGTTACGTTGCACAATGGAACACACCTCCCCCCGCCCTCCCCCCCACCACAAACAATCTTTTCAAAGCGAGCAAGAATTGCAAAGGAAATCATTAATATGGCGGAATGAGTCATTCTTCTTAACAACTTTCAGCAACATGCAATACAGGGAGGGAGAGCCGTGACAAAAGCAAACTGCGCTCAGTGGAAGAACAATGAGGTCTGTGGCTTTGGAGAAGATAGTGCAATTGTTTGGAAAACTTGAGTGAAAAGCCAGTAAAGGCACAAGGGAATGAATGGCCTCTTCCCCTTTCTATCAAATGCTCAATTAATCATAATAGATGCCTCATTGGCAATCCCTTCACATTCTGTGACACTGAAACAACTCAGAGTACTACCGAGAGAGCTGCTCGGCGACTGGGTGCAAGCTACTCTCAGTGAGCTTTGACCAGATGGCTCCTTGAGGCAAGGGTCAGGTTAAAAACAGAAGTGGCTGATGGACGCTGATGTAGCTACAAACATCAATTGGAATCAATGCACAAATGCACCTACGATATCGAGATAAAGCTTCAAAGTGACACAAATGCTTAGATATATAAAAGCCAGCCCAATCCCAGCAACGATCCATACACTGGCAGCCCTCCTCACATAACCTCTCTACTCAGAATGTCGCCAACATGCATTCATAGCTCCTGTATCAGATTGGAGCAGATTTATACTCCTGTTAAATGTCCTGGGACCACCTTACAGAACCTATATCAACAGTCATTGTCACTGGCCCAATTAGTTTCAGTGCCTACTTTTCTTTGCCCTAGAAACATTCAGCCCCGTCGTCTAGTTTATGACATAGAACAGGAGGCCATTCAGCCCCCTCCTCAACATGTTACACAGGAACAGGAGGCAGCTCACTCAGCCCCCTCCCCAACCCAATTTCACAAGAACAGAAGGAGACTCTTTTCATTTCCCTCCCTGAGTCTGGTGTAAAGGAACAGGAGGAGACTATTCAGTCCCTTGAGCCTGTTATACAGGACCATTGAGACTAATGACCCTTCTAATCATTAGGTCAAAGCTTGATCATTAACGTTTTGACAGCACAAGCTTCTTTTTGTCCATTTTGGCTGACCCAGCAAATTTTAGGTTAATTTCTACAATGTTTTTTCATCAAATTGTTTGGACATATTATTACACACCTCTGGAGGAGATGGGATTTGACTCTCTTGGCTCAGAGGTAGGGACGTAGGACTGCACAAGATCTCCTCTTTGAGCCTGTTACATAGGAACAGATGGAGGCCATTCAACCACATGACACTGTTCTGCCATTCAATTAATCACAGCTGAGCTGTGAGCTAAATCCATAAACCTGGCCTCACCCAAGATCCCTCAAGACCCCTGGTTAACAAAAATTTATCAGTCTCACAGATTTTACATTAAGAAGTAATAAAGAATCAATTGCTATTTGTGGCAGAGAGTACAAAACTTAACCAGCCTTTGTGTGTTGAAGTGCTTTCACTGCAGAATGGACTGGCTCTGATTTATGATAGGTACCCTCACCTTCTACCAGCAAGATAGTTTCTTGCCATTGAGTAATGTGTCCACAACCACCTCCCTCTCTTGACCTCTATCCTGGATCGTTACACAGTGGCAAAGGATGCGTCGCTTCTGGCCTGAACCCCACTGAAACCAAGAGTAAAGAGCAGAGGACCCTGCTGTAAGGTGCTGTTGGCTGCCATAGAATTGCTGGGTGGGGAGGCAGTGGTGTAGAATGAAGGTGGTAAACATCCAGCAGTGCTCGTGACTTTAGAATGGAGTGCCTGAGTCACTAGGCCATGAGGCAAGGTTGAATATGATGCTATTTTAGGCTTTGTGACACATGACCTAACAAGTGACTTGTGTATGTATGTTCAGTTTAACAGTTGAACTCATGATGAATTTT